CACTAAAATCAGGAACACGACAAGGCTGTCCACTCTCTCCATACCTCTTCAATATAGTGCTTGAAGTTCTAGCAATAGCAATAAGACAACAAAGGGGATCAAGGGGATTCGTATCGGAAAAGAAGAAGTTAAGCTCCCGTTATTTGCCGATGATATGATAGTGTACATAAGCAACCCCAAAAACTCTACCAAAGAACTCCTACAGCTGATAAACACCTTTAGTAATGTGGCAGGATACAAGATCAACTCCAAAAAAATCAGTGGCCTTCCTATACACTAAGGATAAGGAATCAGAGAGGGAAATTAGAGAAGCATCACCTTTCACGATAGCCACAAATAGCATAAAATATCTCGGGGTAACTCTGACCAAGGATGTGAAAGATCTATTTGACAAGAACTTTAAGACTTTGAAGAAAGAAATTGAAGAGGACACCAGAAAATGGAAGGATCTCCCTTGCTCTTGGATTGGGAGGATCAACATAGTAAAAATGGCAATTCTACCAAAAGCAATCTATAGATTCGATGCAATCCCCATCAAAATCCCATCAAAATTCTTCACAGATCTAGAGAAGACAATAATCAACTTTATTTGGAAAAATAAAAAACCCAGGATACCCAAAACAATCTTATACAACAAAGGATCGTCTGGAGGCATTACCATCCCTGACTTCAAACTCTACTACAGAGCTACAGTATTGAAAACAGCTTGGTATTGGCATAAAAACAGAGAAGTCGACCAATGGAATCGAATAGAAGACCCTGACATTAACCCACAAACTTATGAACACCTGATTTTCGATAAAGGAGCTAAAAGTATACAATGGAAAAAAGAGAGCATCTTCAACAAATTGTGCTAGCAAAATTGGATGTCAACCTGTAGAAGAATGAAAATAGATCCATATCTAACACCATGCACAAAACTCAAGTCCAAATGGATTAAAGACCTCAATATTTGTCCGAACACACTGAACCTGATAGAAGAGAAAGTGGGAAGTACTCTACAACACATGGGCACAGGAGACCACTTCCTACGTATAACCCCAGCAGCACAGACATTAAGGACCTCATTGAATAAATGGGACCTCATGAGACTGAGAAGCTTCTGTAAAGCAAAGGACACTGTCACTAAGACACAAAGGCAACCCACTGACTGGGAGATGATCTTCACCAACCCTGCAACTGACAAAGGTCTGATCTTCAAAATATATAAAGAACCCAAGAAACTAGACCGTAAAAGGCTAATCAACCCAATTATAAAATGGGGCATTGAGCTGAACAGAGAATTTTCAACAGAAGAACTTCAAATGGACAAAAGACACTTAAGGTCATGCTCAACTTCTTTAGCGATCAGGGAAATGCAAATCAAGACAACTTTAAGATACCATCTTACACCTGTCAGAATGGCTAAAATCAAAAACACCAATGATAGCCTTTGTTGAAGATGTTGTGGAAAAAGGAGTACACTCATCCATTGCTAGTGGGAATGCAAACTTGTGCAACCACTTTGGAAAGCAGTGTGGTGGTTTCTCAGGAAATTCGTGATCAACTTAACCCTGGATCCAGCAATACCACTCTTGGGAATATACCCAAGAGAGGCCTTATCATACAACAAAAGTACATGTTCTACTATGTTCATAGCAGCATTGTTTGTGATATCCAGAACCTGGAAACAACCTATATGCCCTTCAATGGAAGAATGGATGAAGTAAGTATAGAATATACACATATTAGAGTACTACTCAGCAGTAAAAAACAAGGGTTCTTGAATTTTGCATGCAAATGGATGGAAATAGAAAACACTATCCTGAGTGAGGTAAGCCAGACCCAAAAAGAGGAACATGGGATGTACTCACTCATATTTGGTTTCTAGCCATAAATAAAGGACATTGAGCCTATAATTAGTGATCCTAGAGAAGCTAAATAAGGAGAACCCAAAGAAAAACATATTGGCATCCTCCTGAATATTAACCTTCAGCAGGTGATGAAAGGAGACAGAGACAGAGACCCACATTGAAGCACCGGACTGAAATCTCAAGGTCCAAATCAGGAGCAGAAGGAGAGAGAGCACGAGCAAGGAACTCAGGACCACAAGGGGTGCACCCACACACTGAGACAATGGGGATATTCTACTGGGAACTCACCAAGATCAGCTGGCCTGGGTCTGGAAAAGCCTGGGACAAAACCGGACTCTCTGAACATAGCGGACAAGAGGACTACTGAGAACTCAAGAACAATGGCAATGGGTTTCTGATCCTACTGCACGCACTGGCTTTGTGGGAGCCTAGGCAGTTTGGATGCTCAACTTGGTAGACCTGGATGGAGGTGGGGGTTCCTTGGACTTTCCACAGGACAGGGAACCCTGATTGCTTTTCTGGCTGAGGAGGGGGGCGGACTTAATTGGGGGTGGGGGAGGGAAATGGGAGGCAGTGGCGGGGAAGAGACAGAAATCTTTAATAAATAAATAAATTAAAAAAATAAAATAAAAAAAGAAAGTAGAAGTAAAATTTTATATCTGTCAAACAAGTTTTAGAGACTATTTTCATCATCAATAAGCCACCATTCTATTACTTAACATCCTCTATTTTCAATAACCACTATAATACTGCATTATTTCAAAATCCCTAAATTCAGACTCAAAGTTGTATACATGCTTTGATTCATACTTCTCCTTCTGAGAGCGCGCCCTACACCATATTTAATTTCAAATCTTCTATTTGCTATTTCAGAATCTCATTGCAGAAGATTTAATTTAAATAATCCAGACTTTATTAATTTGACTATCAATCCACCAACTTTTATATCTGGATTCCACATAGGAAAATAATATAAAGACTGCTTTGCCTTCTCAATACAATCACAGCAACCTAACTGGACCATAACATTTATTCAGGTTATTTTCTCAGGAGTAGAAACATTTCCCAGGGCAAGGAAGGCCTCTCTGGTATGAGGTCTGCCAAGAGTTGATAAATACGCCCCAAGGAAACACACTTGCAGAAAATCAGAGTGTTCATTCATCATTCTCTCTAACATTTTCTATCCTTGATTTTGTTGTTGTCAAGTCTTCTAACATGTCTTTGTTCCTTTTTTATAATACATTTCGCTATAAGTTGATAAATTATAATTATGATATATAATTTAGGGTTAAGATAAACAGAACTACTGTGTAGTAACTAAATCAAACTGAGTAACATATCCATGAACTCTCAGAGCAATTTAAACATTTTTATATCATAAAATTAGGAGTTTTCTCCAGTAATTTTCAATTACACAACATAATGTTATTACTATAGTCAAAACTACAATAATTCTCAAATACATTTTTGTGATTAACAGAATCTTTATCACAACAAACTATCACTTTGAATTCAATGTCCAGTGTCTGCTTCACCATAATTCTTTATTTTGATAAAAAATAAACTTAAATGTATTGACTCTCTTCAATAATATGTGTTTGTGTGTAATGTCATGTTTGACTTTCCTTGTTTGTTAGTTATGCATAATATATTTTAACTGAAATATACCATTCACTAGTCATTAGATTTTTGTATGGCTTGCTTTTGTATACATTATCATACATGGTATTTTATATAATGCTTTACTTTGAGGAATAAATTTTTCATGGTGTAATTTTGGCAATTATAAAATGTATATTTCTAAAGCTGATTTACATAATTATGGGCTATGTAGTTACTAAGAAACTGTTTGAAAATACTATTACAGGCCGTCCTAAATATTCAAAAATAATAGAAAATTATTCAACCATTAACATAAAATGGTTTTAAATATGATTATAACAGGTGGTCAATTAAAGTGCATAGACATGATAGTCATGTGAATTTGAAGTCCCATAAAACATGCTGGAAATATTTTACTGACAATTGAAACACAAGGGCTTCCAGAGATTTGCAGAGAAACATAAAGAGCATCATATGATAATCTGATGTTTGAAATGACAATACATTTTTTTACTGTTATTGCACTATACATTTTTTCTTCTCTTCCCACTCTTTCTCTCCTCTTTCTTTCTACCTACTCACATGTATAAAAAGAGACTTTTTCCCCAACACCCCTGACTGCCACACTCCCAATTTACTCAGGAAATCTTGTCTTTTTCTCCTTACTATTTAGATCCATGTATGTCTCCTATGGGACTCTTTGTTGTCTAGGTTCTCTGAGGTTGTGTTTTTTCTTTGTTTTTTTGTCTAAAAGCCTCTTATGAGTGAGTATATATAAGATTTGTCTTTCTGGGTCTGTGTTACATCACTCTTGAGTGATGTTTTTTTTTTTTTCTAAACCCATCCATTTGCCTGCAAATTTGAAGATGCTTTTATTATCATATTTTTACCAGTGAGTAATACTCCATGGTGTATATGTATCACATTTTATTTATCCATTCTTCAGTATGAGGAATCTAGTTTGTTTTCAGGTTCTGGCTACTAAAAATAATGTTGCTATGAACATTGCTGACCACATGTCCTGTGCTATGAATGAATTTTCTTTGGGTAAATACTCAAAAGTGATATTGCTAGGTCTTGAGGTAGATTGTTTCCTATTTTCTGAGAAATTCCCTTACAGTATTTCCAAAGCAGCTCTGGAAGTTTGCACTTCTTCCTGTAATGGAGAGGGTTCATCTTACCCCACATTCTCTGTGGCATAAGCTTTCATTGGTGTTTTTGATCTTGGCTCTTCTGATGGGTGTAAGATGGAATCTCAGAGTTGTTTTGATAAATTCTCTGATAAATTTATCAGAGAAATGCAAATCAAGACAATAACATTTTCTTAATAACTGACTAATGCTTCAACCAAAGAGTAGGCTGCACTCCAATGACATCACATGAGCAACACACAAAACACCAGTACCCTTATAAAACACTAAGTGAGCAATAACAAGATCAATATAAATACCTACTTTAAAGATTAAGAAAAACAAAAACCTTTCCAACTGGGAAAAGAAGTTCTTTAATCATACTGAAATTATTTAAGTAAAATCTCTATCTTACCTGAATCTTCAAAGTCACTGTTGTAGGCTTTCCATGTTTCCGTTATCCGAAGAAGATTCTCTTCCATGGCTTGAATGTCCATGGAGGGGCAGTTGCATTCTGGAAACTTTGGACCACAGTGGCACCAGCAGTCATTATCCTTGCAAATAAACTCCCCCTCTGAATTACAGGCAATGTAGCTCAATGCTGCCTGCACAAAGCGCTCCTGAAGATAGTCAGGAAGGAGAACTTGAAGCCCTTGAAAGACAAATGAAGTGATCAAGTTTGAAGCACCACAGTGCAGCAAGCACTTGTTTACAACACCGAGTAGAGAAAGTAAATGCTAGTCATTTAAAACACAAGTTTATCGCTATTAAAAACTATCATTAGGAAAATCATCTGTTTGTATAATTTCAATACAATAGACCACGTGAATACAGAATTACAGAATTTATAGCAATCATTAGTATTTTATACTTTTATAGCAATACTGTGGGTCTTTGATGTAATTAATTAGAGCATTTAATTATGATTTACAAAACTTACACTAAGCCTACATATTTGAAGACACAGTTCACTGTTTTCTGCCTGCCTCTTGATTTCAAGTCTTCCATTCCATTTTTATACTACCACTCTGCACAAATGGATACTATAATTAATAATGCCTCTTTTTTTTACAAGTTTAGCAAGGTTGACAGGGCAGATCACAACATAGTACACCAAGAATGCCTACCCAATATGATTCTGTTGTTTAGGAACAAGCACAAAACTGCATAAAAAGGAGCAGATGGGCTGATGTAGTTAATTCACAGTCCATTTCTTTGCTTGTGTAATCCATCCCTACTGATATATTCCATTATTCTCTTAGATGCCAGCTTGGTAGTCACTAGTTATTTAGGGAAGTGCTATTTGAAATAGACTTTAACAAAGAAATATTTTAAATTAAATAAATTTTAATATTATTTTTAAATAATATTTAAATTTAATACTTAAACAATTTTTCATTTAATATATTTTGTGAAAAATATAGTTTTATATCCAACATTTTTAAATACATAACAAAGGTGCCTAGGTCAGTTGTATCAGAGAAGCATCAGTAGCAACACCAAATGGGAGCAGATGCAGATACACATAGCAAGAAAGCACTACCTCAAACACTAGGTGGAGTCAGGGGAACCCTGCAGAAGAGAGGGAGAATTGCTTGTAGGATCCAGAAGGGTCAAGGGCACCAAGAGACTATTGCTTACAGAATATAAGCAAGGTTTATAGGGTCGTAGAGACTGAAGTGACAAACACAGACCTTGGATATGTTTGAGCGAGGTTCTCTGCATGTAGTTTGTGTGGCTTGGTGTTCATGTGGAACTTTTAACAGTGTGGGGAGGGATTGCCCCTGCCCCTTGCATGCTTTTCCTTTTCCCTCCTACTGTCTTTTCTTGTTCAACCTTGATATGAAGGTTTTTGGCTAGTTTTATTGTTATGACAGGTTCAGTTGATATATCTGGGAGGACAACTCCTCTCTAAAGAAAAAAGGAGGACTGGATCTGAAGGAGAAGAGATGTGGGGTGACCTGGAAATTAGGGAGAGAGAGAAAACTGCAGTCAGAATGTAATGTATAAGAGGAGAATTAAAAAAAAAAAAACAAAGCAAAATAAAAAAAACTAGTGAAATACTCTAATAAAGTCTCTCATGATGGTATATGGTTGTCTTCTGTGGGATAATCCTTCTGTGTAAAGAGAATATATATTACTCTCATTAGTTTATAATAAAGACAATGCTAGAATTTGAATTCTAGCAAGGCAAAATGAGGCTAGGAGGGAAAGTTAAATGGAAAATGCAGAAAGGAGGAAGTGTGGAGTCAGGGAGACAGAAGCCAGATGCAAGGGAAGCAAGATGCTAGAGAACAGGTAAAGCCACACGTCATGTGTCAAAACATAGACTAATAGAAATGGGTTAAAGGTTGTAAGAGCTAGCTAGTAATAATCCTGATCCATAGGTCAAGTATTTTGTAATTAATATAAGCTTCTGAGTGATTATTTGTGATCGGGCTGTCAGGACAAAAAAAAAGTTCCACCTCTGCTTAAATTTGTCCCCCAGCAAATTTGTTCCACCCTCTGAGAGGCAGAGGCTGGAAGATGGACGCTAAGAAATTCTAGGTCATCCTAATTTATATAACAGAATGGAACCCATTCTGAGCTATTTGAGATCCAATTTAAAAAGAAAGAAAAATGAAGAAAGGAAGCAAAGAAGGAAGAAATGGAGGAAAGAAGAAAGAAAGAAAGAAAAAGAAAGAAAGAAAGAGAAAGAAAGAAAGAAAGAAAGAAAGAAGGAAAAGAGGGAGAGAGGGCTAAAGACAAGGGTTAATAATTAAAATGAGAGGCCCTATCATACAACAAAAGTATATGCTCAACTATGTTCATGGCAGCATTGTTTGTAATAGCCAGAACCTGGAAACAACCTAGATGCCCTTCAACGGAAGAATGGATGAAGAAAGTATGGAATATATACATATTAGAGTATTACTCAGCAGTAAAAAAACAAGGACTTCTTGAATTTTGCATTCAAATGGATGGAAATAGAAAACACTATCCTGAGTGAGGTAAGCCAGACCCAAAAAGAGGAACATGGGATGTACTCACTCATATTTGGTTTCTAGCCATAAATAAAGGACATTGAGCCTATAATTCATGTTCCTAAAGAAGCTAAATAAGGTGAATCCAAAGACAAACACATAGGCATCCTCAGGAATATTAACCTTCATCAGGCGATGAAAGGAGACAGAGACAGAGACCCACACGGGAGCACCGGACAGAAATCTCAAGGTCCAAATCAGGAGCAGAAGGAGACGGAGCACGAGCAAGGAACTCAGGACCACGAGGGGTGCACCCACACACTAAGACAATGGGGATGTTCTATTGGGATCTCACCAAGGCCAGCTGGCCTAGGTCTGAAAAAGCATGGGATAAATCCGGACTAGCTGAACATAGCGGACAATGAGGAATACTGAGAATTCAAGAACAATTGCAGTGGGTTTTTGATCCTACTGCACGTACTGGCTTTGTGGGAGCCTAGGCAGTTTGAATGCTCACCTTACGAGACCTGGATAGAGGTGGGCAGTCCTTGGGCTTCCCACAGGTCAGGGAACCCTGATTGCTCTTCGAGCAGATGAGGGGGGGGGGGTCTTGATCGGGGGAGGGGGAGGGAAATGGGAAGCGGTTGTGGGGACGAGGCAGAAATCCTTAATAAATAAATAAATTAAAAAAAAAAATAATAAAAAAAATATTTCTAAATGAAAAAAAAAATAAAATGCTCAATATACATGTCCCCACCAGCAAGCCCCCACATACGCACATACATTAAGACATATATGTACCAATATACGCATGAATAAACATACATAAAACCATAGACACCATGTGTACATACATATAAAGGATAAAAAATTAAGAAAGAAATAGTAAAAATTAATTATAATATATAGAAAATTGTGTCAACACTAAATAGTACTTTACTTACTAAATTTGACAATATTTGCATTTCTTTTGTAACAAAATCAATCCATTACTTTGTCCCTGATTTTACCTATGAGCCTGAGTTAATGAAAATCAAGTATTAATATTCAGGGAAAAATAAATTTCACAAGTACATTGATAACTGCATTCTTATCTTTGTATCTTGACCATCTATTTGTCAGTATGTGTATTCTACACACTTGATTATTTAGAATAATCAATTTTTCAATTTAAATTTAAATAGAAATATTTATTGGATGGTTTATTTAAAATGCCATTGCTTGATACACTATGAATGTGAAAATGGTTGACATGACACTCTCCTATCACTATCAGTATAGTTAATAAAAAATTGCTTTAGTAAGGTAATAGAATATAAATTAAGAACTACTGTGTATTGATACTTGTAATTTATGAGACATTGCTAATTGGGTCATTAATTTTATTAGCATTATCAAAGCAACAATACAGTTCACTAAGGACAACATTTGACCATTTAAGTGACACATGAATAACTTTCAACATTATGGAGTTAATTTTTCATGTCAAATGATGATCATTGACAAAAATCACACATAAATCAATGACAGTTTAAATATTTCACATAGTGTTATTTCAGCATGCATGGAATATAGGAAGACTGATCAAGAAAAATAGCTTGGAGTCTGTTCTTAAGCTTTCTATATGAGAAAGAATTCGATATACCACAGCTGAATTTAAATGATATTTAACCACTTAGAGAACTCTGGTGCTATTTTTTTTTTTGGAAGAAAAGTGTATGGAGGAACATGGTACACTTTGGCTCTATGAAACACATCAGATGGCAGCAGCTAATACATATTTGCAAAAAGAAATATTATCAACTGCAAGAAGAGGAAAGCCCGCATTGACACTCCCACCTATCAGCAACGTCTAAAAGACACACCAATGACTGTAAAGTCAAGAGAGCCACAAGGTTGAAGTCCAGTCATTTAGAACCAACAGCTCTTGAACTTACTGCCTTCTCAAAGAATTCATGTTTGGTACTGTAAACCTATACAGCTACACCATGTCTGAGAGGAGAATCTATTATCTCTGTTTTCTGTAAAAAAAAAAAAAAAGTATAACTCCAATTACATTCTGAATGTCTATCATTATGACCACAGATAAGTGTAGTTTTCACAATTCTTCAAACAAACTTGATTTTGTAGTAGATGGACATGATTAGAGAAAGTCACAACTGGTCAAAATGAAGAGAAATCTGATCTGAGGTACAATGAGAAATTGCAAGAGCCAAAGGATCAGGAAGTCTGTTGATAGAGTTTCCTGTTTATGACAGGAAACCTGAACAAATAAAATCTTAACAATAAAGTTGCCTAAACAAATCCTGAATAGTGTAACATTGGAATGCCAACATGGAAGGAGAAAAACTCAAAAGTCCCCTGGATGAGAAGAGTTAAAATCTGTGGCTATTGAAAGAGAAAGAATCAATCTTCAGCAGAAGCCATCAATTGCTAGATATATAGGCCCAAACAGTCATCCCTAAACATGTATACATATAGGTTACATTGTATTAACCCAGCAGGTTATATTTATAGAGTTACGCACTTATACAAATATATAAAAATAATAATTAATGAAAAGGTCAGTGTGTTTCAAAGGGAGTGATGGGAAAGAGTGGAGCAGAAAAATGTAAATATGGTAAGGTAACGACATTTAAAAATATGAAGAAACTAAAATATGAACATAAAAAATAAGCATTGGGACCTGCCTGCAAAACAGCTTAAGAGTTCAAGTGCAGATCAAGTATATATGTATACAAAAATTTGTCCCTGAACTCAAAATCCTATTTCAGGATCCCTGAATATTTTATTCTATTACTGCATTTTATTAATTACATTCAAGCTTCATTACCAAAACTACCTGAAGATGTAAATTTTATCAAGAAATTTAAAGTGCATTTTGTAATATATTATTGATGTGGGATTCCTCTCTGTGTACTGTGATTACCATTAATGAATAAACAAACTGCCTTGGCCTGTTGACAGAGCAGAACTTAGGTAGGCTCGGAGAACTGAACTGAATGCTGGGAGAAAGAAGAACAGAATCATGGGATGTCAAGGAGCCATGGCCAGAAGTAGATGTGCTGAAACTTTGCTGGTAGGCCATGAAATCATGGTAATATAAAGAGGAACAGAAATGGCTTAAATTAATATAAGAGCTAGCCAATAAGAAGCTAGAGCTAGTGTGCCAAGAAGTGATTTAGTTAATACAGTTTCTGTGTGATTATTTCAGTTTTGGGTAGCCAGGATGAATAAGCAGGCCCTCGTTGCAACATATTATGAGCTTAATTATACGTTATATTACATAATACATAATTACATAGTACAATAACTTTAGAATGAAAATATTTAAACTAGAAATCTTTCCAGTATAATCTCCTTTAAAAACTACTCATGAGTAATTTGGGAAAGTTAAATTTATTATAAATATTATGAATGATTTTCAAAACAATTATAAACTCCTTATTGAGTTTCTTTTATGTTTTATTTAGATATTTTTACATAAATTTAATTCCCTAGCCTTAATCTTATTTTGATTATTTTTATCTGTTCATTTAGAGTCATTTATTTGATATGTGACACTTACATATTAAATAACAACAATAATGCTCTATTTTATATGTCATATCTGTATGTGTGCATGTGTGTGTACATAAGTATCAACCGTAAACTGCCAATTGTAGGTGCTGGGAACTGTACCTGGGTGCACTGGAAGTGTAGCAAGTGCTTCTCATTCTACAGCCCTAATATGTGATATTGCTGACAGTAAATATTTAAAATATTTGAAGTAAATTTACTGTGACTATGGATAATGATCAGTATTTTTTTACAAATACATGTAAGTCATGTTAATGTTAAGTTTCATTCTGAAGGGTTTTTTTTTGTTGTTGTTCCTTAACAGTGTTTTTTTTTTAAATTAATATCAATGCTTTTGTTGTGGTTTTGTTGTTGAAAAGAATTCACTGTGGAAGTAACTTCTCTTCAACAAGAGTAAAAGTGTATAAGATAGCATTCCCAGAAAAACTAAATCTGTACCTGCTTTTTCAAATGACTTATCAGAATTCCAATGATAAAAGACAATCAATTTGAATTGCTTAGAAACATAATGCAAACCAAAAATACTCTTGCCCTTATACCTATAAATAGTACAAACATCTGTCTGTATCCATCTACTAAACTACCTATTTAATGAATTGTTGAAGAGAAAAGAAACTCACCACCCCCCCCACACACACACATTACCACATTACTCTCAATGTAAGATTTAATTATTATTAGAATTACTTAATTTGTGAAGAAAAGTATACTAATAATTTCTTCATTTATTCTAGACCGTTAAGATATTTTAAAATTGATGCATTAACTTTGTCAATAATTTTATATATAAATAAATTTATACCATGTTTTTCTTTTTTAGGATTTATTATTATTTTTAATCACATACAAATATGTATATCTGCATACAATTATGTGCACAAGAGGTCAGGTGCCAAGAAGCACAGAGTTTCAGAGACTCTGGATCAATAGATACACAAAGTGATAAGCATGTAGAAACTCAACTCAAGTTTTTTATAAAAGCACCAAGTGCCTTTGGACCATCTCACCGGTGGCAAATGACTTATTTTTCAAAAGTATGAAAGGGATGAAAACTGGATAGTATATCATCTAGGCTCATAAATAATTATTAAAATTTTACCTACGTACCTTGCAACTGAATTTTATTCTCAGGACTCTGAACCAGAACAGAGCTGACAGAATCTAGGTTGTCATAGTTACTGCAGCCAAGAGGACCCGTCCGGGTTTCTGTCACCTGATAAACAAAACATCAACTTTATTATATAAATCAGACTTTCACAATGTTCGTTCTGTTGAGTATGCTTGTCTCCCACTACAATATTAAGTGTTTGGTGGTAAACATCACTGACAATTCTGAGAAGTAAAAGATAGCATCAAGAGGTACGTCAAATCACAAAGATGAGAAAGAATCATGTCTCCAGCTGATTTTCGCTTTTGGAGTCAGGCATAATTCTAATACATATAAAGATCATTTATAGAAAAAATGAAACTAACATATAATCACTCTGTTTCCAAAGAAGTAATAGGGACATACTCCTTAAAGCTGATAGAAAAACATTTGCTTATATAATAATTACTTGTGTTTTCATTTGTAAATCAGTCACTTCCCAAGCCACTCTCTAAAATTGACCATCAGTTTTATTACATGAAATGCAAATATAGACACTTTTATGAGTGCAGCAACTTCCAAACTGTTTACTTTCCATCTGCACAGCAGGCATGATGTGTCCCTGTTCGGTCATCATCTTAATTTTAAGACTTTACTGTTTGCATGGCCTTCTTCCACCCAAGTTTTTGAAAAGTTCTCCTTTCTCTATTTGGCAAATTTCTTTTTTAATGCTTCACATTAACCTCATTCATACAGTCACACTAAGAAGGCCTTGGTGTACCGCCATGAACTCTCTTTGTTACTTACTCCTTCTGGATCTGTGGATTGTAGCCTAACTGTGCTTTATTTACTACCTAAGGTCCACTTTTGAGTGAGTACATTAGTGGATGGAGACAAAAGATGAGGGGATTTGGGTGTGGGTGGTGGAATGGGGGAGATGAAGTGATAGGGGTTGATAGTGTGAAGGGCTGCAGCCAGGGTACAAAATAAGTAGATAAATAAAAGAAATACTGAAAATAAAATTCAAATTCTTTAAAATTTAAAAATAAAATTTCTTTGCTCTTAAACTATAGTTTAGATTAGAATTGTGGAATTTCATATTGGGGACACACATTAAAAAAAATCTACTGTTATGTGTATAATTGTATCATTACTTTAACAAAATATAATTCATTGTTAATACTAATTTCTAATACATTCTATATATAAAATTTATATTGACTGTGGATCTCTTCCTCTGCTTCCATCAGTTACTGGATGTATATTCTAATGACATCTGTTAGGGTAGACATCCATCTTATTAGAGAATGCTAGTTCAGGCAACCTCTCCACATTGCTGAGGTCATACTGTGGATTCCTGGGAATTTCACTAGCAGCAGGTTTCTCCCTAACCCGAAAATGACTCCCTCTGTCAATACATCTCTTTTATTGTTTTTCTTTTCTCCCTCCCCCAACTCAACAATGCTGGTTCCTTTGTATTCTCAGCACCCATCCCTTCTCCTCTAATACTCCCAACCCCCAGTTTACCCAGGAAATCTCCTTTTCTCTTCCCAGGGTGTTCCACAAGTCCCTCTTCGTGCCCTCCTAGTCAGGTAGATTCTCTGGGGCTGTACATTGTTATCTTTGCTTTAAATCTAGCATCCACTTATGAGTGAGTACATACCATGTATGTCTTTGTGGTTTGAGGTTACCTCACTCAGGATTTCTTTTTTTTCTAGTTTCATCCATTTTCCTAGGCAGGGCTCCTAGAAGCCAGTCAATGAGAGGGAGTGTGGTTATATGAACAAGGGGTTTCAAGGTCACAATTGAGAAACAGAGACAGTTGCTGGAGCTTGCGGCAGCTCACCAACTCTAGACCAACAGTTGTTGAGTTTGGATGGGACTGATATCAACTCTCTGAGCTGTGAGTGAAAGCTGTATGGTTTCGATAGGTTTGTGGGGCGCCTGGCAGTGGGAACAGGATCTATCCCTGGTTGATGAGCTGACTTTTTAGAACCCGTTCCCTCCAGAGATGCCTTTTTCAGCCTTGATGCAGGGAGGATAGAGAAATTACTGAGAGTGAGGATGAATCACAATACATACCAAAAACTCACATTTAGAGTTTATTAACAGAGAAGGCAGGATGAAGAAGAGAGTACTCAGGCCTGGCTGAAACGTGGTACAGGAAGAGAGTGTGGAACAGGCATGTCCAGGTTTTTAAAGACTATCTAGCACATGTGCACAGGGGATTACTTAGAAGTTTCACTCAGAGATCTCATGACCAGGCTGCACTGAGATCACGTAGGACTTGAGTACCCTCGGTGCTAAGTTGCCTAAAGGCTTGATGGTGCATATGCGGCCATGTGCCATTGATCTCAGAAGTGCCAGCGCCTGGAGTGGCTAAGCATTCTGCCATAATACTAGCAACTTTGTTGGTAGAACCGATAACAGAGGGCATTGGTTGTTGAAATAGGAGCAGTGGGGTACCAGAAATAATTACACGGAAACTGTATTCTTTTAAATACTGCCTGGCCTCTTATTGGCTAGCTCTTACATATCGATCTAACCCATTTCTAATATCCCTGTAACACCACGAGGTGTCTTACCAGGGAAGATCTTAACCTGTGTCTGTGTCCAGTAGGAGAATCGTGGCGAATCACTGACTCAGCTTTTTTCTCCCAGCATTCTGTTCTGTTTACTCTGCCTATCTAAATTCTACCCTATCAGAGGGCCAAGCAGTTTTCTTTATTACTTAACCAATGAAAGCAACAGATAAGATACAACACCCACCTCCATCAATTGGTCCTCACTCAAATTGATGTGCCCCACTTTGTTGACTCTCCATGGGAGGCCTTACCCTTTCTTAGGAGGGTATGAGGGATAAGTTGGGTGGGGAGCAGGAGAGAACGGGGAATTGTGGTTGGTTTGTAAAATGAATAGAAAGTTCAAAAATAAAAAGAAACAACTTTAAATTATATTATACTGATGGACAAATTTTATATGTCTTCAAGAGTTTGGAATTAGGATTAGTGCTCATGCATATTTTAATTTTAATATAATAACAAAATGGATATAAATAAAACTCAAACTTCAAATTATTAAACAAATGTTCCACATAATCCCTTGCCCCACCAAAGACAGAATATGTGTCATGATCATCTGAATTTTTTGATAATGAGTCGAAATATGGAAGTCTAATGTGAATTTCTATTATAAGGAATTATTATTCTTATTATTTTTAATAATAATAATTATTATTATAAGAAATATATTATGCATGGATGGGAATGTTAGAGCAGCAGTACCTCAACCTGCCTTGTGTTCAGTGGCCTAAGGATGGTAAGTTGTGAGGCTATGCATCAGGTAGCACGGTAGATGGAGCTTCACTAGCTCTGAGACATACAGCTGAACCTGATCAAAATTTTCCCTGTGCAGAACTTGCTGTGGGAATATGATAAGTGTGTATTTGATACAGTCCCTGAGTGTTTTTGTGGATTTTGCTTACATTATCATATTATTTCTGTTGAGGCCATGAAAACAGAGCAAACTTTCAAAAAATCACACAGGTAGTTTCTGATTTTTCCTTTCAACTCTTTCTCTGATGTTTCAGTTTCTAGAGTTCTAGAATTTTACAGAGTTCAAATCTATTTCTAAATCAAAGAAATATTGTAATTGCAGGGAAAAATAATACAGACTTGTGTTTGCCTCAATTAATTGAAATGTGTGCAATTAATTAACTGGAAATGAACTATCATTGCTATTAAAAACCATGCAGTATAATATAATTAACTAATTAATAATACATATGTAGTTTAAGAAAATATCTTAAACAAACAGCATTTCCCCAAATAGTTATAGACTATCTAATATAAAGCCCAACAAAAGTTTTGAGACATCCCTTTCTGAATTGTTTAGTGTTTTTCAAGAGACTCACCAAAATAATGTAAGTTTTGACTATTGACCTTGGTTCCCACCTAGAACTTGGAGTGAATACTTATGGCTTAAGACATTATGACTTTGAACTTGCAATATTGAGAACTTAAGCTCTATCTGACCTGAGAGTCTCCTACTTGACAAATAGCATTTATGATAACAGCAGAATCTACGCAAGCTTCCAAGGAAAAGAATCAGTGAAAATTGTTTCTAAGCTTTGATTGTTAAGAACTGAAACTTGGATACATGATAGCATTATATACCAAAGGACACAGTACTGACAAGCATACCTTGCCAGAAACTGATAGCAGTCTAATTATACTTAATAACCTCAAGAATTTTCCTTTTGACGAAAACTATATGGGCCTACTTAATGAGGTCAAGGAAGTTGGAGGGGAACCTACACTCCCAGTTCTCCAAACCAGGATAATTCCTGGCTACATTCTAAATATGTGCCCGTATAGTCACAAATAGTGTGGCTTTCATACTTCAGTCTCTTTGTAACAAATAGAAACCAATACAGAAAACATTGCCCATAAAAATTCAGAGATCAAGAAAACTGGTAGTGTCAAGTCTCAACACAAACATCTGTTGTGACTACTAATCCTAAGTCTCTTGTATCATAAAGTAAGGGGAGATGAAAATGTTTTAAAATAAGATGAACAAGATACTTGTTGTGAGATTGTCTCCTAGAAATTTCAGTGAAACTATACTCATGAAATCTCAGTAACATGATAGTCCAAAAAAAAATACTGAACAAAAGACAGTATTGTATGTATGTGTGTGTATATATATATATATATATATATATATATATATATATCCCAAAGGTAAATACCCCAGGTTATTGAATATCAAGTGACTAACCCTGAGTACATATAAATAACACTAACATTTTATAGACTGAATGGTTGTGGTTATATATTTGGGAATGAACACATGTGTATGGATACATATCCACAATCATGGCTTCTAAAGCTGAAACATAATGTTCTTTTGTATAGCATTGTTTTAGTGTTAACATAGTTACTTATAAATGAACACAACATGTTTATTGTGGCTGTTTGGATGTAATTGGCCTCATAAGTTCATAGGGAGTGGTGATATTAGGTAGTGTCACTTTGATGGAGTAGGTATGACCTTGTTGGATGAAGTGTGTCACTGTGGGGGTGGGCTTGTGGTCTTATAAATGCTCAAGCCACACCCAGTGTCTA